AGGGCGCATGGCTGACCCCACTCAGCCCCAGCGCGGGCATGCTGGGAGAGGAGCCCCAGCCTGCGCCCGGCCGGGCTCTGCCCCTCGCTGCCCTCTGCCCACGGGCACCCCGCGCCCTCCCCGGCCCGCGCCCTACTTTGCCCTCCACGCTCCAGAAGCGCAAGTTGAGATCCATGGGGCTGGGCTACACGCTCCCGGCAGCGCCGCGCCCCTTTCCCGTGACTGCGGCGTGGTACGACCAGCGGGCCCCGGCTCAGCGGGGCGTGCCTGGGCAGAAGCGGCTGCAGCCAGGCCCAGCCCCTGCGCCAGGCGAGGCCTCTGGGCGCTGCCTCTGCGCAGCAGCGCTCCCACGTACGGGGAGGGATTTTCAAAAGTAGGGCTGAGCTCCACGCCCCCAGCGGCCCTGTACCAGCATCCCAGCCATGCCGCGGCAGAAGCTGTGGGTTGCCAGCACCGTGCACTGCTCTGGGCAGAGGGCCGGATTCCAGGGGTCTCTTCCAGCCCTAGGATTTTAGGACCGTGTTTCTCAACTAGTGGTACTCGAAAGAGGGCTGGGGGGTACCTCAACAGAACTGAAATCTGGAGCAAACTGAATTTTTGTTGTAAGTTTTACAGCGCTTTATTATGTTTGTACTTTTTACACCCAAACATGTCATCGCCTGCCCAGTTATGATTAAGTTGTTTAAACAAACGTGTTGCAATTGTAGAAAAAAAAATGGTGTGTGTCTGAAAACTAGATACTGGGGGGTACTTACAATTTATTTTTTGAAAAAGGGGTACTTTATAAAAAAAAGTTGAGAAACACTGTTCTAGGATACTGCTATAGCATCTGGTCTGGGAGAGTTGGCAACCCTGAGGCTCACCTGCAGCCTCAGGCCAGAGGTGCAGGCAGCAAGTGGCGGTGTTGCAAGCTGGAGAGAAGCAGTGCTTTGAAGAGGAAAAATCACTGCTTCTCTCCAGCTGCATGGCCACCCTTTGCTCCTCCTAAGTCCTCTGGCCTGCACCACTCAGCTGCTGCCTGGTGAGCAGGGGCTGGGCTCAGAGTCTGCAGAATGTAGGAGTGTGCCAGGGACTGGAGGGGGACTACCAGAGCCCAGGCCAAGCCCACAGGGGGCAGGAAGAGAAGATGGCCAGGGGATAGGGCTGCTGAAGCCCATGCTACCCATGACTGCTTAAAATCCCATCCCTAGGCACCTGTATTATTAGGGCACCGCTAAATCTGGGGCACCAGTCGTGCCCTATCTATGCTGGGTATGCCTAAGGACGGACCTATACAAAAGGTCTGTGGAAAGGTGGGCACTTCATTTCTTTTGAACTATAAAGGATTTGGCTTAATTCTCCTAAAGCCATTTGAAAAGAAATGTTGATACTTGCATTGTTTAATTTAAAAAAATATTGCCCTTTTACAAAAGGCAAAAATAAGACTACTCCCTAGACATAACCCACTGCTCTCCTCTGTTCCCAGAAGATGGCCCTTGCACTGAAAATTGAAAAACTTACAGCAAAATAAAAACACCAGATTTAAGACTGCTTAGTTTTTTAATCCTAAACTCATTTGCATTCACAGAATCAGAACTGGAAGGAACCTCAAGAGGATATCAAATCCCCTACACTCATGGTAGGACCAATCACCATTTAGACCAGGCATGTCCAAAGTCCGGCCTGCGGGCCAATTGCGGCCCGTGTTCCGGTTTAATACGGCCCCACAGGTAATTTGGAAATATCTATCTTTTATGGCCCCCAACGAATCCATATGTATTGAGATGAATACATTGTAAAATCTCAGTTAATGTGGTCTTTCTAATTTTGCTTCTATGTATTTGTTATATGTTTGTATTCATTCTTTGTAACTTGACCTAGTTTTCACTTTGTAGGACTCCATTTTGATTTTTAGATCATTCCAGATCTGTTTAAGCCCGTGGTCTCCAACCCGGTGCCCATGGGCGCCATGGTGCCTGCTGGGCCCTTTACGTGCACCTGCGGAGCAATCTGGGCTGGCCCTGCCCCCGGGCGTGCGGCAGGTGCCAGCCCAGGGCACGTGGCCGGCCCCGGGTGCGCCACGCGTGCCGGTGCCGACCCTGACCCCCGCCCTTGCTGGC